CGACATCCGTTGAAGAAAGCGGACAACAAGTCCCTACTCCAACCGCCACTCAGAAAGGACGTTGTCACTCTATTGCTCCCCAGTTGCACATGGTCGCAGCTCCGATACCAACTGTTATGTGCCCGATTGAACTTCAATCCACAACGAATTCACACGTTCCCATGCATGCATGCAATTGCAGAGTAGACTCATGGGCAAGAAAACGGAGAGAAGATATGCACGGCGGAAGCTCATAATACACAGAGAATTGAAAACCGAATTTCAATTCTGCAATCCCTCGTCCTCCTCCAATCAATCCAGAGTACTTGTTCCAAGAATCACAACCGCGTTTACAACAACCCCGAACAACCAGAAACAAGTGTTCAACTAAGTATGCAGGAGTCTTCTTCTTCCTCCTCACCATCTCATATTCCTGGCTATGGCTGCCGTAGCAGCAGTGTCTCCACAGCTGTCACTACGTGGCAATCTGAACCAGCAACCCTAATAATTACAGCGCCAGCTCAGCACCCGCACAAAGTGCAGCACTGAAGTCCTGATGAAGAAGGAGACAGCAGATCCAACACTTCGAAGAAGACAAAGTTCCTTGAGAGGAGGAACAGCAGATATGGCTGCCAAGTGGAAGAATGGCAGCGCCCAAACCCAGCAACACAGTCCTGTGGAAGTTCTTGTGCAGAGCTGCGAAATAGCAGCAGTGCACGCTTCAACTTCGTTTCCCAACCCCAGCTATGGCTGGGCTTCGAGGAAGAAGATGACCTCGCCCAAGATAGGCAGCAACGCTCCAACAACGGACGGGCAGAGTTTCCCCAGCCAACGAAAACGTGAAAAGACCCAGACCAAATTTCCTGCCAGCTACTTCTACCCTCTGTCTAGAGCTACGAAGGACTCTAAAGGCAACAACCGAATACTCATCTGCATCTAGATGGAAACAGGGAGAAAAGGGGACCTAGACCTATGACAAGGCAAAAGGAAAAGACCTAATGGCCTAAGGCTACCACACAGAGACCACTAGTGATAGAGTCAGGGATCAAGTCCCACAGGGCTCAACACTCAAAAACAAAACACAGTACAGGTCACAGGATCAAGCCCGCAAGGTTCAGAAGAACAAAACAAACCACAAAGTGTACAGCCCCACAGGGAAACTGCGATTTATTGCACTACATATGAAATCAAAAACTCATATGGGCTATCCCTTCGCAATCCTCACAGCACAAGGCAACGCCATGTACACCACATGCTAGCCGAATCTCAGGTGGGTCATCATAGAGCGGAATTGCACAGGTTCCATGGGTTCCCCAAGTGTTTATTCCCTCTCTGTGGGCAGAAGACGACGGGGATTGCTCCAAAGATAGGGTGCTTAGCTGCTGCAGGATTTGGTCTGTAACAACGTGTGTGTGTGTGTGTGTGTGTGTGTGTGTGTGTGTGTGTGTGTGAGAGAGAGAGAGAGAGAGAGAGAGAGAGAGAGAGAGAGAAAGAAAACTACTTCAGGCATTCTAGCGCCCTTAAAGACTTATTAATACACTTCGGTTGAGACATAAAGACAATTATTGGACATTGTCGCCAGAGACTATCTCAAGCTATTCTTTGTGTCATCTCCCTCAAGGTTTTCTTTGTCTTCCAACTGCTCCCCCTCTTTTCTTCGTCCACCTTGGTCTCTCCCCACCTCCATTATCCGTAGTTTCAGCCCATGTGTGAGTCTGTTAACTCAGATTTCTTCAGTCTTCCGCTGTGCATTTTGCTTCCTCCATTTCTGTTCGGCGTTCGCATTGCTCTTCCTACATCTTTCTTATCGTATTGTGTTCTTTTGGGCCTGTGACCCACCTCCATTATCCGTAGTTTCCACCGATGTGTGAGTCTGTTAACTCAGATTTCCTGACTCTTCCGCTGTGCAATTTGCTTTACATTGCTTAATTCGATTTACATTTGCTCCATTTCTGTTCGCGTTGCTCTTCCTGCATCGTTCTTTTCGTATTGGTGTAACAGTTCTTATGGGCCTGTGCATTGCCTCTCTGAGTCTCTGCTGATAGGCATGCATCACATCCTCAGGTTGGCCATCCAGAATGTATACGACTGCCATGGCTTCCGAAATATCAATCAAAGGACTTCTGTGAGTGAACTGCATAGCACATTGCTGACTGGATCTGACTGTCTTGGATTCCAGAAACATCCTGCACAGTGCAAGTGCGCCTTAATACCTTATGAACACATTTCAATTCTGGCCTATAACTCCCAGTAGCCACATAAGCAACAACCGTTCCGGTATTGTTTATCAACAGAAACAGAACCACTGGAAGGACAATGTTGTGAATGACAAGTACAGGGCTACATAAGCTCAGGGTAGTATTGCGGATAGCAACAGAACACATTTCAATTCCGGCCTATAACTCCTAGTAGCCACATAAGTTCGTAGTATTGTTGATGGCAACAGAATTTCTAGATAGTATTGTTGATGACGACAGAAACAGAACCGCTGGAAGGACCTTCATGTTGCTCACAACAAGTACAGCGATACATAAGCTCTAGGTAGAATTGTGGATAGCAACAGAAACAGAACAGCTGGAAGGCCCTTCATGTTGCTCACGACAAATCAGAAGTGCAGGCCTCCAACTCACACGCTCCTGATAATGTCCCTGATGCTGTCCATCATGCCAGAGTATGCGAGCTGCGCTGAAGTGGGGCTCATGGATACCTGCAGTTGCCATGATCCGCAGACTTTCTATGGGATACAAGACAGACGGTGGAGTGGCAGTGCCGCAGTGATGATCAGAACAATGGGGGCAGGGCCAAGCTCTGCATCAGGACGGCCAACTCTCTTCTTGTACCAGAGCTCCGAAGAGGTGAAGACATATCCACTCAGTCACTGACTGGAAATGAGGACAAAAGAAACAGCTCTAAGGATATTGGGACCTAAGCCAGCTCCTTCCCATAATAGCCCTCTCCATATAGTTCACCCCTTCCCCATATTACCTGCAACAACCTCTTTTCCAGTTCCACCCACCCCTTCGATGCTTCCTCCACTAGCAGTCAATTCCTGCCCCTCCACCGCTTGTACTCACCCCTCCAACCCGCCCACCATTCTCACCCACTCCACCCACACTCACACCCCTGCCCCCGTTGCACCCACCTCTCCAACCCCTCCACCATCCTCACCCACTCCACCCGCACTATGGTTGCCCCACCAGCTCCCAGGCAACCGATGGGCGCTTGGGCTGCAACTCTCGGTGTATCCTGGAATGCCTCCTCCTGCAATTTCCACCCCCAATGGTCCCTGTCGATCAGCTCAGTCCACTACCCTATACATTTACTGCCTCCACCACTTTCACTGGGGACAGTCAAACCATGGAGGACTTTCCTGACCCCTCTAGACATCCATCACCGCCATTCCCAACCCCTAACCCTCTCTCCCTCATCTTTCCAAATCTCTATGTATACATATTACATTGTCATTCAACCACTGATACCTAACGATGATAGGCAATTTGAAACGAAGGAAAGTGAACAAGAGAGCAACCACCTCGAATTTCCTGTTATCTCTGCACATATCAGAGTCTCCTCCATATTAATGTCCATTCTATCGTCTACTTTCTCAACTATTTTTGAGTCTATTTTGACTACCCTTACTCTATACACTGTATACAGGGTATCCCACATACTTACGTCCATTGAATTGTTTACTTTTTCAAAGATTTGTACTACCTTAAAAGATACAACTTCACAGTTCTCCCCCTCCTCCTCCTCCTTCACACATCGTAAATGTAAAATAGAGATAACATCCTTTTGTCTTCACGTGTTATCCGTATCTGTATGATACACTAACCAGTCAAATCCCTATCCCTTCCCAAACCGCACTACTCCCTCCCTCTCCTCCCACTCTGCAGAACCCCAATTACTAAAGCTCTCTCCCATCTGCCCCTCCCATCCATACTCCTGCCCTCACCTCTCCCCCTCCACAACCCAACTCACAACGGCCTCTACCTTTATCCCCTCTCTGAGGCTCTCTCCCAGATGTATAGACACAGGAGGCACACTCTAGACACACTGGCAAATGTCCTCCATCTTACATTTTTAACAATGTTTCTCTTCTCATGTGGGAAAAGTTACAATGTTTTTAACAGTGCTAATTTGGGAAAAGTTACAATTACCACCAGAACTAGACACGATTTTAGGAAAGGTATGGACCAGTACAGGTAACAGGAGCACCCAAATTCATCAAAGTCAAAAAAATACTCTATTTTTTCCCACGGCCGATAGCTGGGCCAAGTGCTGGTGGTTTAAACATAATGCGTATGCCCAGTTGCTTAAAAACAAATTGCCAATTGGTCAAAGAAAGTAAGACATTCCCGCCTGAATCTGTCTGCAACTGAAGACCGATGCACCTGAGTGAATCTGCCTGTAACTGAAAACGGTGCACCCCGGAGGGAGAAACACTAAGAATCCCCTGCCAAACGCCAATCATATGGCATTCACCATACATTGTCAAGACCTAGTAGGCGTCGCAAAGATTCCGGGCACTGTCGTGAATGGCGAAAGAAATGGCAGCGGCTGGGAGGAGTTTCATGTTGTTCACGGCGAGTCCAGAGTACAGTGCACCAGCTCCCTCTCTCCTGATGATGTCCCTAAACGCGTCCATCATGCCCGAGTACGCCACCCGACCTGGAGCGGGCCCCATGGCTGCCTGCAGTTGCAGGCGGCGCTGCACAGTCTCCAAGGGGTACAAAGCAGTCTGTGCGCACAGGGCGGCTGCGGTGGCGATCAGAACAACGGGAATGGGACCGAGTTCCACATCAGGACGGCCAACTTTCTTCTTGTACCAGCGCTCCAAAGAGGTGAACACATACCCACCGAGGAAGAGGTACGGAACGGCTCGAAGGACATGCGGCCCTATTCCTGCGTAGAAGCCCTTCGCTCCTCCCCTTTTCAAAATGGCTCTTGCAGTGTCCACCACCCCCCTTCTGTTCCCCCCAACTCCTCCGATCCCACCTCCACTTGCCCCTGCTCCTCCTACCCCTCCGCCATTCCCACTCAGTCCCCCCGCACTTCGTCGAAACGTGGCTGCTGCGGCTGCCCCCGCAGCCCCCAGGCCACGGATTGGCGCCTGAGTTGCGACTCTCAGTGTGTCGATGGGATGGGACGTCAGGATCCCGGCGGTCGATGCTACAGTTGCCATCATGTTCCGCTGCCAGTCTGGCAGAAAACCCTGTTCAGCAGTTTCTTTCATATTCCCAGTTCTTCCTTTAGGTACGATTCCCTCCTGGTGGTGGCGCTCCCGCCCAGCTTGCGATGCTCGAGTCATCGCTGGGTCAAACCGATTTGCCAGCGCCCTGTAGACGGCTGCCTCCACCGCCTTGGCTGGGAACAATCGAAGGACATTGAGTAGATTCCCTCTGTATAGACCCCTGTAACCCTCCGCGATTTGGATGGTGTCCAACAAGGCACGAGGGTCCTGCCTCTCCAGACTGGGATCCACCATCTGCAAAATCTTCATCCTCTCCAAGGGAGCCACCAGGGTTCGACTCACCGCACCGGCGATGGACGCAGCCAGCACATCTCTCATCGTTTGCGGCTCAACACGGAGATTGGGCCTGGCAGCACGAGTCTCCAAGGCGAGGGGCATGTTGGCATCCAAATCCCCACCAAAGTCGATCGCTGCTCGAGCACGAGCCCGTGAACTCAACACCTCGTCAGCATCCTTGGCCCAGAGAAGGTACATCCGCAAATCCTCTAACCCAAACCCCTGGGAAGGCGCCTTGCCTACGCTGCGGCTGACCAGCCGATCGTCCTGGTACACTTTTCTCGGCGTTATGCCAAGTCTTCTAAGGGCTTCTGGAATATCCTCCTTCGACACAACGCCAATGTGTCGTCTATCCAGCTCCCTGAACGTAGCATGCAGGCGGTCCTCTATTCCCGTGGCGAACTCCACAAACTTGTCGAATGTCACCCGATCGCCAGCCTTCTGCGCAAACATGTGCACCTCCTTGTCAGAGACGGGAAGCCTGAGCTTCTCCGCTGCTCTCCTCAGCCCCTCCTCCCCGACAACACCAGTTCGACTGCGATCCAACTGCTCAAACTCTCGCTTCAACGTGGACCTCCACCCAGACTCGTCCTTATCATGGTTCTCATCCTGACGAATTGCAACGACAGGACGACAAAGCCGCCGTATCGTACCACTGCCATTACCCTTCCCCCCGTGAGCCCTCATCATGGTGGCGATCCGCAGATGATGCGAGCAGCGACGGGACCTCAACCTACGACTGATCTCATCTGATGCCGTTCGCACACCCTCATCACCACCCCGTTGACCATCTGTTGACGACAACAACAATGCTGACGAGCGGTCACCAGTCTCCCGCCCTCCGGCCTTCAAATCTGCCGGAATAGTCTTCATGTCCACGAAGACCACCGGACCCAACACATCAGCTGTTTGCGAGTCCGCCATCCCCACGCCACTGGTCAGCTCAACAACGATCAACCCACTGGCCCAACCAATCTTCACGCACGACGAAGAACGCGCCCCTGCAGGAGAGCTGAGTGTGGTGCAATCCATTGCTCTCATGATTCGCATCCAATAAGATAGAACCGGCCGCTGGATCCCGCAGCGTTCGAAGAGAGAGAACCAGTCTGCGGATGTCAACTGCCCTGAACCCTTCCACTCAACCCCTCCCCCAAAGAGCTCTCCAACGTGCAACAGAACCCCGGCCGAAGAGAAACCGGTGCTTGCCTCTTCCACAACGTAGCAAACGACTGCTCCCTGGCAGGCAGCCAGCTTATCTTACAGAAAGACCCGTTCTTGTAATCATCCAAGCAACAACTGCACCTGAATCAGAACAGTAGAAACACAGAATTCCTTATACGGACCAGAGAGAACACAGAATCCCTTATATAAGGAGCAGAGACCGCGTTCTTAAAACATCCAAGGAACAGCTATACCTGAACCCGCCCATAAGACAAAGTTCTTTATAGGGAGAAACGCAATCAACAGAAAAAAACAAAAAGCATCCCCAGTGTCCACGTTGTCCCACGGCGGCATCCACAGTTTTCACTACGAGGTCGACATTTATGTTGTTCGTCCGGCGCGACCTCAAATTTTGTAGTCAAGATCACACAAGAGCACACGGATGTAGGTGTTCAATTCAGCTCAGGCTTGATAACGTGGAGAAACGCCAAGTGGTCGATGCGGAAAGTACCAGAGTTTCGTCCTTCGGGACATCCGTTAAATTTGCAACGATACAGAGAATGGTTTTTTTTTTTTTTTTTTTTTTTTTTTATGTGGCCCGATGGACCACGGATCAGATATTAAACTGATCAGAACAGATACTACACTTTATCTATTTTTAGCCAAAAGGCCGAGAAAGGTATACACGGAGAAAATGACCATGGCCCCTGCGCACGAACGACACGCATGAATCGAGAAATAGTCCGAATTTGTAAAGGAAATGAAAAAAAAAAAAAAAAAAACACAAAAAAAGGACCAGCTTCCAATAGTACGGCAAACGGAAAAACACGAAAATGTCATTGGCCAATATTCGATGGGATGGCAAAGGGAAAATGAAAATTATGGAATGAACTATTCTAACCGTTCAACAGCTAATTTAACACGGTCGGTTGAAGCCTCGCCTTCTACTGATTATCCCGAACTACATACATGATTGTGGTCGGTGGAATCTCTCTCTACGTGAACGCCAATGATTTTATTCACTAGCTTACCAGGGGAAAATTATACAACCTCCCCGGCGACGAAACCTTTGTAGTTGTTTCCCCCCACCCCAACCGCCACAACCGGGGCAAAAAGTGCCGCAGGCCCCAAAATGACCAGCACACAAGTTGGTAGCTCCTCGTTGCATTACTATCGGCAACGCCCAACTTCTCTCTTGGTCGTCGCTTGCATGTATGAGGTGCCGCCGGGTTGGTTTCTGCGTTCAGTCCTAGGTTGACCATATTCACAGCAACGCCCAACTTGGAAGTAAATGTTCATTACGTGAATTGATAACACCAATTTACACGCGCAACTTGAGACACAGCTTCCTATCAGCTAACGGTGAAGATCTCCCTTCCCGAACATATCAGCATTCAGCGGACGGTCAGGACTTAGGATCATAGCGCTGGCCTCCTTTCCGCTTTCTCTATGACAGCCGCATATACATGACGAGTGACGTCGCTCGCCCAACGTTTTCTCTTCAACTCTTCACAGAGGAAAAAAAAAAAAAAAAAAAAAAAAAAAACGTTCCCCCGGGACAGGGGTAAGTAATGTTGGTACACCATATGTACGGATCTGGCTGTGATGATCAAGAGACTTGGCTCCTGAGGCCGACTTGGCTCTTGAGGCCGACGTAGTCAGATCGTCAAATCGTAACCATATGTACGGATCTGCTTGCACGGAGGAGGTCTTAGGCCCAGATGTACGGATCCATAACTGCATTGTTCACACAACTTCACAGTGTATTTTACTTCGTCTGGCCTCTAGCAATGCACAGTATGCCACTTCGTCTCACCTCTGCCAATAAACAGTACAGGTTCATGCCATTCTTTGAATTTCTTTCAATTTCATCTGCTCTGTTCATTTCCTCGTTCGTTTCAACGAAGGACGGACTCGAACGATTTGCTTCCCTCATTTCCTTCGTCGGTCAGATTCCTCAATGACTGGCCACTGTATATCGTGGTCTAGTGCACATGTGAGCAGTCGCCAGTGTACATCGTGGGCTATTGCACATATGAGCAGTGGCCACTATAGATCGTGGGCTATTGCACATGCGAGCGGCAATCGTCGTTAGAGGCAGCAATACCTTTCGAATACTGCCTTAGACTACGAGTGTCAAAGGCGAAAACGTCGGTCATCGCACATAATAGAGTCCGCTCATGATGTGACAGGGGGTAATTGGTGGTAGGAAGAGCCCATGCCAAAACCTTTCCGGTTTTGGGCGCCCGAAACTCGGCCGTTTGGTAGTATAGACCTCTTCTACATATGCGCCAGATTCATTATCTGGTAGGGCCCTTGGAGAGACGCGTGGGCCTGTAGTACCCTACATGGAAGTCATTGGGCCGGACCAAACGGCCGAGTTTCGGGCGCCCAGAACCGAACGTCTCTCCAAGGGCCCTGCCAGATCATGAATCTGGCGCATAGGTTTTGGCGTCGGCGCTTTCTACCGATTATCCGATGTGACAGGGTAGACTGGGTCACTGGGTAGCTGACATTTCCGACCCCCGCACTCTCTCACGCACCCACGGCTAACATCAAAACAAAGAAGGTCATCATGATCGTGTTATGGATGAGGGGGCACGTATGAAGGAAGACGAAAGGAGGCTGGGGAGGACATGTTTATGACTGTTGTAGACCGGAGGACGATGTCGAAAAGGAACAATGACACAGAGTACGCGGCTGGAAAAAAGAGGGAGACGGCAGGCAAAGAGGAAGGGTGGTGACGACCCGTGGGCAAGGAACAGTGGAGTGCCAAAATTCAAAAACCAAATCGACGAGTGTTGCAACAACAGCTGAGTCCCCACGCTCCGTCATCTTGCACGTAAACATGTACACGTCAGTGGTGTCGCTACTCTCCCGAGAGAGGTGCCTGTTTCGGCTGAGACTCAGCGCTCTTCCCAGGAACGCAACGCACCCTCGCCACCGACGCCACGCATGCATGCAAGCAAGCTTCCCAGTTCAACACAGTCATGATGAGGGGGCGTTGAGCTCTGGGGAAGACGGTAGGTCATCTGCTCCCCGTTAGACAAAACTCGACACAGAGAAAACGAATTTGAAACGACGGCGCCACCAAACGACAGCTACACAGAGGTAGACGTTTTTTGACTGTTTGGTCAGCTGTGTATTGTTCCCAGCTGTTCAAGACGTAGGGAAAGCATTTGACAATGTCGATCCTTCAGCCAATTCCACGTGTATATATTGACCTCTCTCTCTCTCTCTCATTGTCGATCCTTACGCCAATTCCACACCTGTATTCATTGACATCTCTCTCTCTCTCTCTCTCTCTCTCTCTCTCTCTCTCTCTCTCTCTCTCTCACACACACACACACACACACACAAACACAGACAATTACACACACACATATTCGCTCACGCGCACGCGCGCGCGCGCAAATGCGCTCTCCCCTTCAAATTCTTACACGATTGCATGAGACGTCATCACCTTGACGGGCGAGGTGCACAGTGGAAGAGCACCAGTGACTACTACCCCACCTTCTTGAAGAGCGCTCTGTACATGAACTGGAAACAATCTCCTCTTCACGATCTCCTCCGGACTCCCCCACATCAGTAACCCCACTCACCACGGCCGAGCTGACGAGTTTCCAAGCCTGACGCCGCATTTTATACCGTCTCCGCTTTCCCTCCCGCCAGCTTCCGCTCATGCGCGGAAAAAACTGTTTCCCTTCCGCATGGCCCACTCTTCGGTCGTCCCTTTCCCTCCCCCACCTTCCTATTCCTACTCCCCGCCTCTTCTCCATCCTGCCTCCCAACTCCTTCCCTGATTCCGACTCCCAACGCCTTCCCTGATCCTGACCACGCCTGCCAGCCACGCTGCGCCTCCTCCTCTTGACCATCGACCAGACTACTACTTCGTCGCGCGGATGACCGCCCTGTATCGAATACCGGCCTTTTTCTCCTTCTGGGAAATCTGCGGTATGCCCCTCAAAGATGCAATACTTGCATTACGCCCCTGGAAACACTGGCCTTGCCCCGCTGCGAAAAACGCCCGGCGTTGCTTGGACTCATATCTGTGCATGATGCCCCTCCCGGCACCAGTCAAACTTTTCAATGTACCCAAAATGGGTCCCCGTTACGAACCTGGACAGGCTGTCCTACAACCATACCGGCAATGTTCTTCTTTGGCCATGCCCCTGTACGGTTGGAGGCCACCTGTGGCCCCTTTCTCTCTCTCCCTCTCTCTCTCTCTCTCTCGATGTACCCAAAATGGGTCCCCGTTACGAACCTGGACAGGCTGCCCTACAACCATACCGGCACTGTTCTTCTTTGGCCATGGCCCTGCACCATTGGAGGCCACCTGTGGCCCCTTTCTCTCTCTCTCTCTCTCTCTCTCTCTCTCTCTTTTTCTTTTTTTTCCCTTCATTATGCTATATTCTTCTTCTTGTTTTTTTTTGTTTTTTTTTTTTGAAAGCTATGTTCTTCTCTCAATTTCACCTCACATTACCTACCTACCACTACTCCTAATTGTAGGCATACGGGAACCCCGTAGCAGCCAGAAGTTCCCAGAACCATGCCGAGGCTCCTCCCGACCTGCAGGTGGGCGATACCGGCTAGGGGACAGCCAGTAGCATCAGGGACCATGCCAACAGGACCAATCCCTGTGCCTCCCCTACGAACATCAGAAGACTGTGCTCAATGCCAATGGGGGGATCCAGTGGTCTATCTCTAGGTGGCGGGCGCCAAGCATGCCCAGGAAGGTACATGAGGCGAATGGGGATTGAACCCACGACCTCCTGAATGCCACATGCGTGCCTTACCAACTGAGTTAGGCCGCTGGATTATATTCTTCTCTCATTTTCACCTTTCTATTTTATTTTTATTTTTTCCCCGAAGTCGCACTTTTATTAGCCGAGCCCAGTGCCCAAGGCAATTACATAATGACGATAGTCAAAAACAGGGACGACAGGTTGTCCTGCCCACCAGAAGCTCGGAGCCCCATCCCTGCATACACTGTCTCCGCACTCTTTACCCTAATGCGGCACCAGCCCTGCTACGAAAGCAGTCTCCATTCCCACCTACAGCCAACCCACGTGCAATCTCTTTTCCAACCTACAGCCAACCCTGGTACAACACCCAACACTGTGACGAACCACTTTCTGTAACGCGCGATTTTCTGCGCGGTTGCAACGAGGGGTCCTAAGCTGGGAAGATTGGGCCAATTACGGGAGATCGGGATCTGTGGAGAATTGCATCAGTGTCCTCGCTTTTTCATCCTTTTTCGAATGGCCAAGCACGGGGTCGGGTGTGTCTTCGGACGGCCGGTGGATTGATTGGTCGGATGGTTGTTTGGTGCGACGCCACGCGCGCGCGCGATCAATAAATGTCGACGTCGTTTCTTTCGGTTCGGTTTCGATCTTTTTAGGCGCGGACATCGCACGGGAAATTGCTTCGTTCTTTTTTGAAATTCCTCTTGAATCTTTTTCGAATTTTGTCGAGCCTCCAATGGCTCTCGGAATTTCGGACTTTCCTTCTGGAATTCGTGCTTTTTTGCTTTTTCGCATTAGATAGGAATTTAGGAATTCAGTAATTAGGATTTTTCCAGCCGCGCGGCGCCTTTTGTTTATGCGCTTCTTCATGCGGCTGCAACGGTACTCTGATTAGTGGGCGCCCTTAATCGTATGTGTAACTGTAATTTTGGGCGGGCGCCATTGTAACTGTATCTCTTTTCTTGCACTTCGTCTCTCCCGCCCTCCCTCTCTTTCTTTTGCTGAAATTTTGTAAGCCGCGGCTTGCATGCTCGGATCGATGCGTGGAGAAGGGTTACGTCCCCCACGCCGCGGCCGATCATGCAGAACGCAGGCGTTCCCTCTCTAATCTTCACTCTAAGTCTTAGTAACTCCATGTTTTTCGCGCATGCATGCACGCTATAAATTTCGGCTACGCGATTAGTCAGCTCTCTTAACCCGTCATTGGAAGTTCGGGGTTGCGCGATCAGGAAGGGTCGGCACACGAGCAAAGTAAGAGGTGAGTAGAGTTGGAGTTGGGCGACCCGACGGGCTGGTGCCAAACGCGCGGGATTGACGTGGGCCACGACGGACTGTGGGCACGGGCGAATCCGACGGGTGCGGGAGGACTAAGCGGGGTGACAACTTCGTGGGTTGGTGCGTGACGACGGACTGTCCGCATCGGAGGGGGAGAGAGAGAGGAGAAGGGAGTTGAGGTTGATGGACGTGGATTTGCTGTTTCTTTGTCTCTTCTCCCTCTCCATCTGTGTACATACATTTTGATTGCGGCTCCGGGTGGTTCGCCCGTTCTTATCTTCATTTCGGCTCTCTGGAATCTGGACTTGGGTTTTTGCTCATACCTATCCTTGCGATGGCATTGTGTGTATGATTGTCGAATGTATGGATGCATGAATGTTATGTCTGCTCGCCTATCTTTTTGCGGAGAATCCCTGCCCTTGCTTTTTGTTTGTGCCGAATCTTTGCTTGCACCGGATGCAGCGATAGATGGGATAAGAATTTGGCCCCGATATCGATTTTGTTCTCGTTTTTGCTTGTCCCACGATGAGGTTGTGGTATGGTTGCATCTTGCATAGCCGAAACTTACGAAGCAATTAGGCGATCCGAAGTCCGGACCCGCGAGCGCCGCACGAGAACACGTGTAAACGCGATCCAAGTTGCGCCCTTACACGCATTCCCGTGCGTCGATTCGCTCACCCCGAAAGGAATCATCGGCGGAACCATAATCCCGTACGAGCACGCTGAGGCGCCACCAAGTCGGCCTGTCCTATAGGTGCTCGTGCGCGGTGACGATATCTTCCCGCGCTATCCCATCTGCAATGATACCATGACGCGATCTTGGGGCTCAGACTCGTCCTATGACCCGGACTATTTCACCCCTATAATAAACGAGCTTATAAGGACGCGATACCCTTGTCACACGGAGAATCGGCTATGTCCACGGGAATTTCACTGTGCCACTACTAGCTACCTTCGGTGCTCCGATTTCCCTTCCCCCGACCACACCTACTACTTCACCCACCCGGGATTCGTTGTGATCACCACCAGTTTCCCTCCTTTCCGCCTCCTTCTCCCGTATCATCAACTCAGTGTCGTCCCGTGGCCGGCCATAGCCCCCTATTGGCCCAACACGTTTTGCGTAAACTGTCGACGCAGCAGCGCACAAAGAACCGCGGAATTTCGAAGGCCCAACCCAACTACGCGGCGGCCTGCACCACGTGGCGGCCTCCGACGGCCTAACTTTTCGGGACTTTCTCCACCACGGAGGAATTTTTCCGTAACCCGTCGCCTGCAGTGTCCCGGCCCCTTCGGACTGTGAGGCCCTTGTGCGCGTACACCCCCCCCCCCCCGTTCGCCTAATTGCGTCCATACCCCTAAGACTCCCCCACTTCCCCCAAAAATCCTTGGCACACCCCTTTTCGCACTTCCAGGCCCACACTCCACTCCGATCAGGAAGTCGCGTTGGGCGTGAGGTTGGGCGTCACAACACACATGAAGTAAAAATCACCGATTCCAGATGACTGGAGTCCCCAGTCTCCATACTCCTTACCCTAACACGGCACCAGCCCTACGACGAAAACAATCTCTTTTCCCACCAGCCCTACCACAAAAACAATCTCTATTCCCACCAACAACCAACCCACATAGATGACGGGAAAACACGACACATCAAGTGAATTTCGTAGCACCAAGCACAACCTGTCCAGAGAATCGAAGACTCCCCCACACAACTCCCAACACAAGGCTGTCACGGGTGTCCATGTATTTCCATGTCATTACCCCGCCACGAACCAACCGCAGGCAACAAAACAAATTAGGGTCGCCCACCTATCTTAATTCCAATGCGTTCGTATTTCAAGCCCGGCATCGTAGAAAATACCACCCGCACACCCCATCTCCCACCGAGCATCAAACTAGGCAGCAGCAACAGAGTGAAATAGGGTTGCCCAACTATGAAATCAAAAGCCATTTTGTTCGAGCAAGGTATATCTAACCAAACACCAACATCGACCCAAGAACAGGCATGTCAATGCCCCAAATACCCAGTAGCCATGGAAAGGACACACAGCGGCACACATCGAAAAGGGAAATCCTACTCACATAGACTAAAATACGGAAAGGGGAATCCTACCAAATACGGTAAGGGGAATCCTACCAAGTACATAAGCTAAAACAGGGAATAGCAAAAAGAGAAGGGAAATCCTTCAAAACACATAGGCCAAAACACATAAGGTAAAATAAGAAAATCCTACAAAACATCTAGACCAAAGCATGAAAGGAAAAATCCTGCAAAACACATAACCTAAGATAGGAAATAATCGACACGCAGGAGAACTCAAAGCATTCCAACTCGAAAAGAAAACACTGAGTCGACAAAACAGGCAATTATTTCGGAAATATCCCTAAAACTAGTCGACGAAACAGACAATTACAGAGATATCCCTAAAACTACACTTAGCCCTCAAACGATGCATACCAAACACACTGCGTTCCTCTCGAGAGGATCTTCAATCGTCAACTTTAGGCGAAAACATCTCCAACCAGAAGACCTCCAACAAAACTTCACTACAGTCTTCCCCTGAATACAACGTACGGTCATTATAGCTGAATTTAAACTGAAAGATGCCCCAAATTCAGCTATGACGACCGTACGTTGTGTTCGGGGGAAGACTGTAGCCCAATCCTCTTCATGCTGTGATGCCCAGCCTCACGCCCAGCACAACTTCCTGATCGAAGTGGGATGTGGGCCTGGAAGTGCGAAAAGGGGTGTGCCAAGGATTTTTGGGAAAGTGGGGGTGGAGTCCCAGGTCAGAACTAAGATCTCCTGTGGCAAGGTTCTAGGGGCATGGGGGCAATAAGGCTGAGGGAAAGTTCCTTCCGGTCTGTTGGCGTTTATGTCGGGCAGCATAAGGCAGATGGCATGCGCGGTGTATTCAGGGTCGTCCGGTCCGTCTGTTTTGGGGGCGGCGGTTCGAGGAGGGGTCTGCCCGGGATGGCTGAGGTGCTGATGAGACGAGCCTTTGGGGGCCGCCACGTGGCGTCTGTCGTCGCGTGTTTGGGTTAGGCCTTCTATTTTCGGGGGCTCATCGGTTGCCACGTTGCCGACAGTTTCCGCAGGGCGTGCGGGGCCAGTACTCGGCAATGGAATTCCACAGGACAACTGTGAGCTGGTGATACGGGAGAAGGAGGCGGAAGGGAGGGAAGTTGGTAGCGATAACGACGAAGTCGGGGGATATGAAGTAGTGCGAGTTATCCGAAGTGGGAAAATCGGGACACCTCAGGTCGCTGGTCGTAGCACAGTGAAACTCCCTAGGGCACAATTGATTCTCCGTTAGGCAGGGGAATTTCAGGCGTCTCTGTCTGAGACACTCTCTCACCCAAGGGTCGAAATACTCCGGGTCCCACGACGAATCTGAGTCTCTCAAATACGTCATCTTGTCATCGCGGTGTGATGGAACTCTCCCGCACGCATCTAACCGGCAAGGGGGATTTTCCGATGTGATATCGGAATTCCCTTCCGTTTGGGTGCGTAGGGGGAAAATTCTCCCCGCCTACCCGATATCGACGGTGTCAAGCTTGCCAATGGTTACGAAGCGGCGCGCGTGGATGCGTGTAGGCTGCGCAGATCAGATCGCGCTTACACGCATCCCTGCGAGGTATTCGTTTATTTCTGGACAATCCACTACTCAACCATCCAATCACTCCGTGATCCCGTACACAATCGTTCCTGAGTATGCAAGATGCAGTAAAGACAGCAAGGGAAACAATATTGATGACTATGCAAAATTCCTACTATGCTTATGAGTGTATCACAATGACAAGTGAAACGACAAGCAAAGGCAAGGCAAGGATCAGGCAAAAGGACACGCAATCCGACATGACATTCATTCATTCATTCATTCATTCATTCGACCGAACACACAACAAACAAAATCGAGATCAATTGCAAACGAGTGTGGGCAAAAAACCAAACCAAGATTCCGCAACAAAAGAAAACAAGTGAGTCGCCCTGAGCGAAGATCAAAATTTATATACAAAAGCAAAGAGGGAGAAAAGACAAAAGAAACAGCAAATCCATGTCCATCAACCTCAGCTCCCTTTTCTTGTCTCTCTTTCTCCGATGCGGACAGTCCGTCGTCGAGCACCAACCCACAAAGTCGTCACCCCGCTTGGTCCTCCCGCACCCGTCAGGTTCGCCCACTCCCACAGTCCGTCGTGGCCCGCGTCAACCCCGCGCATTTGGCACCAGCTCGTCGGGTCGCCTGACTCCCATTTCAACTCACCTCTTACTTCGCTCGTGAGCCGACCCTCACTGATCGCGCTACCCCGAGCTTCCAACAACTGGTTAAGAGAGATATCTAATCGCGCAGCCGGATTTTATAGCGTGCATGCATGCGCGAAGAACATGGAATCACAAGGACTTAGAAGGAAGATTAGGAGAGGGAGCGCCTACGTTCTGCATGGCCAGATCGCGGCGTGGGGGACGTAGCCTCTCTCCACGCACCGATCCGAGCATGCAGTTCGCGGGCTGGCTGGACACAGCAAGAGAAGGCGAGAGCGGGAAAGACGAAGCACAAGAAGAAAGGATACAGTTACAATGGCGCCCGCCCAAAAATTACAGTTACACACATGATTAAAGGCGCCGACTAATCAGAGTTCCGTTAGAGCCGCACAGAGAAGCGCGTAAGCAAAAAGTGCTGCGCGGCAAAATAAAATCCTAATTGCAAAATTCCTAAATTCCTGTCTAACGCAGAAAAAGAGAAAAACACAAATCCCGAAAAGAAAGTTCGAAATTCCGAGAGCCATAGTGGCTCGACAAGATTCGAAAAAGAATTCAAAAAGAAATTTCAAAAAGAACGAAGCAAAATTCCTTGGCGGTGTCCACGCCTAAAAAGTCCAAAACAGAAACAGAAGAAGCGACGTCAACATTAATTAATCGCGCGCGCGGCGGTGCGCCACTCACACAGCCAATCAACCAATCGATCGTCCCGGGGCTCACCCGGGACCGAACCCAGCCATACGAAAAGACAACAAAAAAGGACGAAGAAGCAAGGACACAGATGCAATTTCCCTTCCATCCCAATCTCTCGTAGTTGGCCCATCCTTCCCAGTTGAGGACCCCTCGTTGCTACCGTGCAGGTAATCGCGCGGTGCAGAAATCGGTTCATCACAATGCTCCTCCAACTCCCACAGCAAAACCGGCCACTACTCCTAAGCATCTCTCTCTCTCTCTCTCTCTCTCTCTCTCTCTCTCTCTCTCTCTCTCTC